GAGGGGAAGGAGGAGAGGACAGGAGCAGCCCAGGCTGAGCAGGTGCCGCCGCCTCGGGGCGGACGGGGCGTGCCTCAGCTCCTGCCCGGCGCCCCCATGGGAGCCGAGTCCCAGGCCCCGGCCACAGGCGGCCTCGAGCCCGCCTTCGGCAGTTTGAACCACAGCCTGCTCCCCGCGTCTGTCCTGTTGGCGTGACTCTGGGGACTCGGCCCTTCCCGGCACCGGGAGCCGGTCTCAGGGCAGGGACCAGCGCTGTCTGCGCTGGGACAGTGGCCCGGGGGAGCGGCCGCGTGAAGCACACGCCAGGAGGGGCCGCAGAGGGCCGCCGGCCAGAGGCCGGTCTGACGTGTGTGGCCCAGAGGAGAAGACGGTGGCGAAGCCGCTGTGTGCGGCTCGCTGGCTGGTCACTGGGGCTGAGCCTCCTGCCCCGCTGCTGGCTGCTGGCGGGAGGCTTTCTGTGACGCCCCGTTGGGCTAAGGAGAGAAGCTGGGGCGCAGAGCCCAGCCCCCCGCACTCAGCCCTGAGCGGACGCCTCTGCCCGTCCTCCCGCCGGCGCTGCTCCTGGCGCTCCGGGCAGGCGCCGCGGGGGGCCTCACCGTCCGCCCTCCCCTCCCGGGCTGCGGGCACCCGCGTCCGGCCTCAGCGCGGTCGGCTGTTCCCTGCATTGGAGCCTCTGGCGCAGGGAAAGAGGAGACTCCTGGGCTGAGGTCGCCGGGCCTCCGGGCTCCGTGTCTCTGGGGAGGGCAGCTGGCAGGGCAGACGGTGGCCAAGAGGAGGGCCCACCTGTCTCAACAACAGGCCACGCAGGAGCATGTGGCCCGGCCGCCCACGTCTGCAAGTGGGTCTACAGAAGATTCCAGAAGCGTGACGTTGTGCATTTTCCAATAGGATCCTTATCACGGGGTGGTTCTGGGTGGTCACACGCCTCAGCGTGACGCTCAGGTGCCGTGGCCCAGCAGCACTCGACAAGAAGCTTCCAGAAGGTCGTTTGCCTCGGTCCCTCCGAGCTTCCGCTGGCGATGCTTTTACTGTGTATTAATGCTCTGAACGTATTAAAGTTGGTGAAACACGCTGTCAGGCTGGGCTGTCCTCGTTCACACCCCCTGCCGCCCTCTGACCTCGCGGGGTGCTGGCACAGGGCCAGGCTGGAGGCTGGAGAGGCGGCAGTGCCTCCTGGGACTGGCTGGGCCCTGGGAGAAGCTGGGTAGGTGGCCCCCTGGGCTGCGGCGCACAGCCACGCCTTGGCCCATGCCCAGGCCTGAGGTGGGGTCTGGTCTCCCCCGGCGAGTCCTGTGAGATGGGCCCCGGCCTCACAGAATCTAAACAGATTGATGCTTAGACCCCTCAGACACCCAGCCCGTCAGGCCTTTTTCCTCTGCATCTCACCACATGTCACATGTCACACACATGTGGGCTGCCTCCCGCACTGCACGGGGACCTGGGGCGCCCTTCCTGGACCTGCACCTGCACCCCCTCCCCAGAGTCGGGCCCATCCGGAGGCCCAAACCCCACCACCTGCGTTAGGGGGTGGCACCGAGGGCTGTTGAGCCCCCAGGTGGTCTGACTCCGACCACAGGACCCGTAGCTCTGGCTCCACCCCCGCCGCTCTGGCTCCACCCCCGCCCAGGGCCAGGCCGTGGAGCTCCTGTGCACTCACCGGGCGTGTGCACTGGGCGTGTGCACCGGGCGTGTGCACTGGGCGTGTGCACCGGGCGTGTGCACTGGGCGTGTGCACCGGGCGTGTGCAGGCCGTCCTGCTGGCGGCCCTGCACGGAGTGGACCCAGATGGCGGCGGTAGAGGGGCCTCGCCTGCACCCCAGGCAGTGGGGGCAGCACTGGTTAATGCTCCTCGGGTGGGTGCCTCCCAAACACCCCTCCTGCTGTCCTGCCGCTGCCTCTGGACAGACGGGGCCTCTGTCCTGGCCTCGGGCGGTAGTGGTCACCTGGCTCCCAGGAGCCGGCCCCAGGGCTCCGCTTTCTCCAACCTGACACTGCCTGCTCCAGGGCAGCACTTGGGAGGGAATCCTTTTAACCCTGACTTAGGGAAGGTTCTGGAACCTTTTGGCTTTGGAGGGTAAAAGCCAGAAAGGACCCCCGCCCGGTCGCGCCCCGCCAGCTCTGACCCCGGCCTCACCCGCCGGCCGCACGGTGCCACCAGCACCGGGGACAGGTCCGGGCTCTTCCCACCTCTGCAGCCTGAAACCAGAACTTCTGGTGAAGGCGATGCCTCACAGCAGTGGGCGGGGCTGGAGCGGCTCCCCTGGGCGGGGCTGGGGTGGCGTCGCCCCGAGGCTGCGGGCGCTGGGGAGTCCCCTTCTCGGGGCTGCCTCCGTCTGGACATGACCCGGAGCCCTGTGAGCCCCCCACTTCCTCAGTCCCGAGCCCCAGGAAGTGCTCGGCGCCCTCCCCTTTGGAGAAGCGGGCCAGCACTCGGGGCGGCCGTGGCCCCAGCACCCACCCGGCTTTGTCCTGGGCCTGGCGGGCCTGGCTGCCCCAGCTGGCCCCGCTGCAAACAGTCCGGGACCGGAGGCCACCAGGTGCATCCTGGGCAGGAACAAAGGCCTGGCGGGGAGGGGTGGGAGGCCCAGCTGGCCCCGCCTGGCCCCGGAGCCGGGCCTGGGCCAAAGGGTGGGTGCCCACAGCCCTCAGAGCCTGGCCTGGGGCCGGGCAGGGACACCCCCGTGCCCACGGAGGGGCAGCAGCCTGGGCCCCACCGTCAGAACTCCCTCCGGCCTGGGCGGCTGGCTCAGGCCAAGACCCCTGCCCAGGGGCCTCCTTCCGGGACTGGCGAGAGCGCAGCAAGGCCAAGGTCAAGGAAGTGACCTCAGGGCTCGGTGCCAGGGCGCAGCCTCTCAAACTCCGGGGTGCACAGCAGCAGAGGGTCCCCCAGGAGCGCCCGGAGCGGGTGTGGGTCAGCTGAGCACAGGACCATGGCGAGGGCGCATGGGAACAGCCCGCCCGGCCTCTGCTTCCTGACGGCTGAGCGGAGGGTCCCTGGGCAGAGGCTGCCCCGAGGCCTGGGCCAGCGGGTGACGGAGGACACAGGAGCGTCAGCGCAGCCCCTGCACTGCCCGGCTCTCCCGCCCAGGACGCCGGTTCTGGGGCCACTCTGGCGTGAGGACACAGCCCCCCCCAGGCCTGGGGGACCCACCCCGATGTGGGGGGGCTGTCCGCCGGGCCCCAGGGGGGTCGCTGAGGGCTGAGGGTGGGGGTGGCCAGTGGGGGAGGTGGTTGGGTGGTAAGGGCGCTGGGCCCAGGATGGAAATGGCAGGGGACAGCATCACGGGCCCACGCTGGGGCTGAGGGACAGAGTGACCCCCGAGGCTGGCTGAGCCTCTGCTGGGAGCCCTCCAGCCCCTCCCGGCCCCGACACGCTGCGCCTCGCCCACATGCTGAGTTAGGACTTGAATGGCTGTGGGCCCAATGGGGGGGGCAGGGGGTTTGTCCCCCGTAGGCGTTTACCCCGAGGGAGTCCAGGGCAGTGGCAGAGGGCAGGGGCCCCCAGCTGGTACTCCCCTCTCCCCCCTCCCCCCGCCCGGTCTGACGCTGGCTCAGGAGGTGCTGGGCAGAACCACACAGGCAGCCCAGCCAGCACTGGGCAGTGTCCCCACTGCGGGGAGGGGTGCTCGCTCACGGGGTGAGCTAGAGCCTGGGAGAGAGGGTGGCTCCCAGGTCCCCCACCCCCCTCGGAGGGGTGTGGGGGGTGGAAATGCAGCTGGGACTCCACAGAGGCCTGGACGAGGGGGCCAGGGCGGGGGCGGGGCCAGGGCCGGGCTGGAGGGCGGAAGGTGTGGGGGGGGTTGGGGGGCTCAGGATGGTCCCCATGTGAACGCTGTCAGGCGCCTCACCCCACCAGGCGTGTTGGGGCCCTGGCTCCTCCCCGCCTGCCCTCCTCGCTCCTCCCCTGCCTCGGAGGGAGGGCCCCCTGCACACTCACGGAGGGCGACCTGGGCTGCCACGCTGGCCACATGGGCACAGCCCTGGGGGGGCCCGGAGCCGCCCGGGGACTGAGGCTGCCCAGGGTCAGGGCAAGTGGGTGGCGCGGGCCAGGCTCCGGCTCCAGATGTGCGGCCAAGCGCCTGCACCCCACTCCCCACCTGCCGGCTCCCCCCAGCGGCCGGGCAGAGACACCCCCTGGCCTCGGCCCTGGGGCCCAGCTGGCCCAGGCAGGCCCCTCGGCCCCGGACAGTCAGGGCGTCTGGTGCATCAGCGCCTCCCCGGCTCCAGATGCGGGGTCAAAGGTCGGTCCCTCGCTGCTGGGCCGGATGTGAGGCTGCTCAGGACTTGAAGCCTCCAGGACGCCAGCCGGGGCTTGGGGGGCCCCTCTCCGGGCCCGAGGGGGGCGACCCCGGTTCACCGGCAGCAGAAAGTGTCGCCCAACCTTTGCTCGGGGCCTGGGCCCCCAATCCCGGCGGGAAGGGGCAGCGGGGCCTCGGAAATGGGGGCCAGGGCCGTCCTCTGAGCTGAGGGCCCACCTCTCCGCCCCCACCGCCCCCCACACACACCAGCCCAAGATCGGGGAGCGGGGCGGGCTGGGGGGCAGGCAGGGCGCCCCCCGAGGGCCCGGCCCGGCCGGTGAGGAGGCGGGGCTGCCCCGGCGCCGCGGGCCCCAGGGAGGGCGCCGGGAGGAGCGGGCACGGGCACTGCCAGGCCCCGCGGGCCCGGGAGGAGCGGGCACGGGCACTGCCAGGCCCCGCGGGCCCGGGAGGAGCGGGCACGGGGGGCACGGGCACCGGCCAGCAGGGCCGCGGGGCCCGGGCCGCTCCGGGCGGGGCGGGGCTGGCCGGGCGGAGCCCGTCGCAGGGGCGCGGGCGGCGGCGGAGCCGGGGAGCCGGGGAGCAGGCGGGCTCGGTGCCTTCGCCGGCTCCGGGCGGGGGTGCGGCCTCGCGGGCGGCGACGCGGGGCCTCGGTTTCCCCGCGCGGCGGGCGGGGCGGGGACAGCAGCCTCGGAGCCGCCTGCAGGGGGCGCCCGTGGGCGGCGCGGGGAGCGGAGCCGCGCGGAGCGGAGACGGGGAGCCGGCAGCCGGCGCAGCGGCAGGTCAGCCGGGGGCCGCGGCCGGGGTTTGGGGTCCGGGGTCCGGGGTTTGGGGTCCGGGTCCGGGTCCGGGTCCGGGTCCGGGGTCCGGGGGTCGCGGGCGGCGGGCCGGGCTGTCGGGGCTGCCGGCGGGGCAGGGCGGGCGGGCGGCTCCAGTCCCTCCCCCTTGGGGCCCCGCCGCCCGGGAGGAGCGGGGGCTCCGGGCTGGGGTCCGAGCTGCCGCGGGCGCCCGGGGGGCGGGTGCGGAGGCTCCGCGGGGCCGGGCACCCTGAGCCCCGGCGGGACCCGCCGCCCTCGGGCCGCCTCGACCGACCGTGCGGTCGGGGCGCCGGGCGGCGGGGCCGGGCGGCGGGGCCGCAGGTGCCGGGAGCCGCCCTGGTCCGTCCGGCGCCCGGGGCGGGGCGCGCGGCCTCGGTAGGGGGCGCAGCCGGCGGCGGGGCCGGACTCGGGTGCAGGCGGCGCGGCGGCGGGGCGGGGGCGGCGGGGTCAGGGGGCCCGGGCACCCCGCACCCCGGGCGGCGGGAAAGCTGCGCGCGGGCCGGGCCGGGATGGGCGGCGGGGCCGGGCTCGGGGTGCAGGCGGCGCGGCGGCGGGCAGAGCGGGTGCGGGGTCGGGGCTCCGGGGGCTCCGGGGGCTCCGGGGGCGGCAGGGGCAGAGCCGCTGAGTCCCCGCGGCCGCCGTGCAGCTTCGGTCGCCCCGGACTGCGCTGGGGGTCGGGTCGGGCCGGGGGAGAAGCAGAAGCGGGAGGGGGGCCCCGCGCCCCGTGCCCCGCGCCCCGGGCCTGGCGTCCGGCGGCCCCGGAGGGGAGGCCGCCGCCCCGCAGCCGCTCTGCCTCTGCCACAGGCCGGCCCGGGCCCTGCGCTCCCCTCGGCGGCCCACGCGCACCCCAGACCGTGGCCTCGCCCCACGCGCACCCCAGACCGTGGCCTCGCCCCACCCGCACCCCAGACCGTGGCCTCGCCCCCAGCTGTGCCGGCGGCGCCAGGGCGCCAGGAGCTGGGGCGCAGTGGCGGGAGGGCGCTGTGGTCGGGGTGCCGGCCGGACAGCCCTTGGCCAGGCCCGCTGGGGACCTGTGTGACCCCAGTGCTGCCCGTGAAGGACAGGTCCCCCCATCTTCTCAGAGCAGTGCCCCCAAGGGAGAGGGACAGTGAGGGGGGCATGGCTACGGGTGACGGCGTGGGGGACTGTGCTTGAGCTGTTAGCCTCGTGGGTCAGGGGACCCCACGAGAGTGGCTGCCAGGGGGCCATGTGGCTTCAGGGCTGGGCACCCCGCAAAGTTCTGGTCCCTGGTGGACCTAGACCCCGAAGCCGCTCTGACCACCTTCCCTGCCACCCAGCCGTCCTCTGCCTGGACCCCCTTCCCGGCCCCCCAGGCCAGCGGACGCTCCTCCTCTGAGAAGCCGTCCCGGCCGCCGTGGGCCACGGCGCCCGAGGGCCGGCCTGGCTCAGGAGGGGCTGGGCAGAGGCTGGGCTCCTCGGGGCCCCCTCGCTCCTGGGCAGCCCAGCGGCCCCTGAGGCACGCCCCCCCCAAACACGGGGCCGCCTCACGCGGTGAGGGCCTCGGGTCTGCTGTCTTCCTGCCCCCCTGCCCGGGGCGTCACCTCCGGCCCCCGGCCCTGCAGGCTGAGGGGTTCGAGGGAGCGCAGAGGCGGCTGAGGGCACCAGGCTGGCCCGCGTCTGCGCCCGGTGGTCTGGCTGAGCCTCCCGCCCTCCCTCAGGGTCCCCAGGAGGGTCCCCTCCTGTCCTCTGCAGTGCCCGCCGGGCACCCCAGGGGGCACTGCCCCTTTGGCAGGCCAGCCTCTGCCCGGCTCCCATTAGGCCCCTCCGCAGCACCTCAGGGTAGCACCCTGCCCTCAGGTTCCTTCTAGGGAGGCCCGGTGTGTGCCCCCCTACCACCTTGCACCCTCCCCTCCCCCGTGGCCGCACCGCGGGGAAGGGTCTCGGGGTGGAGCAGGGTGGGCACCCAGCACCCGGTGCCGAGGAGTGGCCCCTCGGAGGGGCTGAGTGGCCACCTCGGGCTGGGACAGGGGGGCCTGGACGTGGGGGGGTGGGAGAGACTCTGGGTGCCCAGCGGGGAGAAGGGTGCAGGCTGGTGGTGTGGAGTCTCCTCGGGGGTGGCTCTGTGCAGGGGGCTGGATCCCCGCCCTGTTCCTGCCCACATCCTGCCCCCGGGGGCTGAGGCAGCCGCCACACACCCCGGGGGCAGAGAGGGCGGGGGCACCCCTGGGTGCCTGCACCCAGTCCCTGAAGCTGGGGCCGCCAGCAGCCCTGCAGGGAGGCGGCAGGACCTGTGGCTGCTCACACCTGCCCAGGCCTGGGCCCCTGGCGCCTTCCCCCTGGGCAGGGCGGGCAGGACTGTGGTGGAGCGGGAGCCGAGCTGCCGCTGCCCTCTGCGCGCTCCGCGGAGCCCTGGCCCGGCCGTGCTGCTCGGCCCGCCTTCCCCGTCGCCCTCGCTCCCGGGACCTGCCGCGCCGGTGCAGTTTGGGTGAGAGTCCGGTGGCCGTCAGACCCCCCCCAGGCGCGCGCTCTCCACCTCCACCCGCTCGTTCTCGCTCTGACAGGACGGCCGGGACCTGAGGGTGTGACGGCGGCGTTTCTCGTTCCGTCACCTGCTTCCTCTCTGCCCGTGAGTCCTCGCGCTCGGTGATGGACGCGGTTCCTTCCTTTATCTCTTTGAAGAGCCTCCATGCCTTGGGCCGTCCCCAGGAGCAGAGGCAGGGGTCCTGCCTGGCCTGGAAGCCGGCGGGCACCCCCGGCCACCGGGCACCCCGGCCAGCGGGCACCCCCGGCCAGCGGGCACTCCCCGGCCAGCGGGCACCCCCGGCCACCGGGCACTCCCCGGCCACCGGGCACCCCTGGCCAGCGGGCACTCCCCGGCCAGCGGGCACTCCCCGGCCAGCGGGCACCCCTGGCCAGCGGGCACTCCCCGGCCAGCGGGCACCCCCGGCCACCGGGCACCCCCCGGCCACCGGGCACCCCGGCCAGCGGGCACTCCCCGGCCAGCGGGCACTCCCCGGCCAGCGGGCACCCCGGCCAGCGGGCACCCCGGCCAGCGGGCACCCCGGCCACCGGGCACCCCGGCCACCGGGCACCCCGGCCAGCGGGCACCCCGGCCAGCGGGCACCCCGGCCAGCGGGCACCCCCGGCCAGCAGGCACTTTCTGGGGGGCACAGCCACCGTCTGGGCACGTGCACAGAAAGCCTCGCCAGCCCGACATGCGAAGAGCCGGGATGGGGCCGGGGAACCTGTGGGCTTTGATTAAATGGCGTTTTAATTAGAGCCGCCAGGCCAGTGGGCGAGGGGGAGGCGGCCGCCGGGCTGGGCGGCGTGGGCCGCCCCTCAGCGCCTCCACGGGGCAGGCGTGTGCTCAGCACGGGCCGTCGCGGGGAAATGATGCGCGATTAATATTTAATTTCCCCTTCCGGCCGCGGCAGAGGCCCAGGGGCTCCTAGACGGACCGCCTCGGCGAGGGTCAGGAGATGGCCCGGCCCTGGCCACCCAGCCCTCCCCACGCCGCCCGCCCTGCGGCTCTGGGAGGCCTGGAAGGGAGGGGGGTGGGGGAGGGTCGGGGGAGATGGGGCCCAGGAACTCTCCCGTTGCTGTTTTCCCAGTTCCGCCCGGTACCGTGAGCCCCTTTGGGGCTCAGCTCCTCATGTGTGAGGTGGGGTTCATGGGACAGCGAGCACCCAGGCTGCACGGCGAGCTGAGAAGGTCGGGGTGCAGGTGCAGGGCGGGGGGCTGGAGGCGCGTCTCACGCTGACTGTGCGCGGCGGCTGCTGGTTCCTGTCGGGGACGGGGACGGGGACGGGGGAGCCCTCACTGGCCGAAGGGGAGAGTGTGCACCACAGAAGCCCAGCAAAGGCCACAGCACAGCACCTCCGCCGGACGGTGCTCCGGCCGTTAGAGCCTGGTCCGCCACACCCGGCAGAGCCTGCGGGGCCGCTGTGTGCGGGTGGGCGGGAGGGCGGGGGTGGGGGGAGGAAGGGGTGCCGGCCATGCAGAGAGGCAGCTGGAGGGGACCCAGCTGGAGGGGCGCTGGCTGTGTTTTAGCTGCTGGCAGGGTTGGCCTGGGCCAGAGGGTCCATGGCCTCCAGGAGACTTGGGGTGGGGGCACCCTGACAGCAGGGAGCATGTTGGTACCAGTGCTGCTCAACACAGGAGCCCAGACACAGAGGCATGGGGGGACCCTGGGGACTGGGGGGACCCTGGGGACTGGGGGGCCCTGGGGACTGGGGGAGGGGGTATGCAGCCGGCATGGGCCGCGAGGGGGCTGGGCCCACAGGGCATCGGCTGGCCTCCAGGGCAGGACGAGGGGCAGCAGCCTCGGCTCCTGGGAAGCGCGGGGTGTGCTGTGGCCAGGTAGAGGCAGGTGGGCTGGCGATGGCCCATCATTGGAGGGAGGGAGCCCCTGGGCCATGGGGGCGCTGCAGGCTCCAGCCTCCGCTCCGGCCGGGCCCCGGGAGCCGGGCTGGGGAGGGGGTCTGGCAGAGGGGGCACACGCGCCTCCACGTGAGTGACGGGTTGGGACGGACGGAGGTGGTGGGAAGAGGGGGTGCACTGGGCGTTTGGGGGGACACCGAGCCTCCTGCCTGTGCTCTGGGTCAGTGACCTCACACGGCTGTGGCCCTCTGACTCTGGGATGCCCTCGCAGAACTGTGTCCCCCCCTAGAACCAGGGGCCGGGGGCCTTTCGGGTTCACCCCCCGACGTTTCCAGGGGGAAACCGAGGCCCAGAAAGGACAGCCTCCGGCACGTCCTGACGGCGCCCCTTCGCTGCCTGGCACCCACGGCGGCTTCGCCAGGCGGCAGAGCGGGCTGGGGAGCGGCGTGGGAGGAGGGAGGGGAGCCGCCCCGCCCCCGGGCGCAGGAGGGCGCCGCTGCCACTGTGGTGCAGGCGCAGACGCCCGCTCCTTCCGAGGGAGCACCACGGGGCCCTCCAGCTGCTCCCGCCTGGGCCCGGGGGAGAGAGAGAGAGCGGGGGTGAGGGGCTTCTGGGGGGCAGGGAGGGGGCTGTGGGGGGCAGTGAGCTCAGGAACCGGACTCCCGGGTTTGAGAGGCTGAGCAGGAGGGACGAACCGGAGGGACTTCCCTCGGAGAGGGCCCGGCTCCCTGGGGGAGGCCTCTCGGGGGGACCCAGGGTGCCCCCCACCCCGCAGCGCCAGCCCCTCACCGGCCTCTGCTCCGCAGGTGCCGGGACCCTGACGCCGCCGCCAGCTGCGCGCGATGGAACCCCCGGGGGCGGCCCGGCTGCCGGAGACGCCACGGGAGCCGCGCAGAAGCCCGTAGGAGCCCCCCCGCAGGGAGCCCCCGGCGGTCGATCGGGGCGCGGGGAGGGCGCGGGCGGGCGGCAGCTATGGACCGAGAGCCGGCCCGGCCCGCGTGCTCGCCGCCCCCCCGCGGCCGCGGCCATGGATGGCACGGGCTCGCTGGCCGTGTACATGGTGGTGGAGCTGGCCATCGCCGTGCTGGCCGTGCTGGGCAACGTGCTGGTGTGCTGGGCCGTGTGGCTCAACAGCAACCTGCAGAGCGTCACCAACTTCTTCGTGGTGTCGCTGGCGGCGGCCGACATCGCCGTGGGCGTGCTGGCCATCCCCTTCGCCATCACCATCAGCATCGGCTTCTGCGCCGCCTGCCACAGCTGCCTCTTCCTGGCCTGCTTCGTGCTGGTGCTCACCCAGAGCTCCATCTTCAGCCTGCTGGCCATCGCCATTGACCGCTACATCGCCATCCGCATGCCCCTCCGGTGAGCGGCGGGCGGGGCCGGGGGACCCACGCCCGGGCCGGTCTGCAGGTCCGTGTGTGGGGGTGACAGGGCGGCCCACCCAGCGGCCCCTGTGACCCTCCCCGGGCACCGGCCCTCCCCAGGCCCCCCGGGGACCAGGCCTGGGCGGTGCTCACACAGCGGGGGGCGGGGGCACCCCGGAAACCACGGGGTCGGAGCAGCGCCAGCTCTCCCAGCTCCTGGGGGACGGGGACGGGGACGGGGGGGAGAAAGGTCTGAAGTCTCACAGGAGGAGAGGGCCGGGGGGAAGTGGAGGTCACAGGAGCCGTTACGGCCCCGTGTGCACACGCCCGCTCCTCCGGCCACCAGTGCCCTGGCGTGGGCGTGGGCGTGGGCGTGGGGGTGGGGGTGGGGGAGATGAGGGGGGCCGGGGGGCTGGCGGAGGGGTTTTCGGGAATCTCCTGTGAAGTGACTGCGGCCGCGGGTGCAGGAGGCTCTCCCAGCGGCTACGTGTCCTCCCGGCCGAGCCTCCCGCCCCCTCCCTGCCCCTGGCGCCCGGGAGGCCTCAGAGGAGGGCTCACAGGGAAGGGCAGATGCACGTGGAGCCCCTGGAGTTTGGGGGGGCTCTTGGATCACAGGGTGAAGGAGCAGCTGGGAGCTGGGAGACGGAGGCGGCAGGTCCTCTGTGGGCGGTGGCTCTGGCCCCCCTTCCTGACCCCTCTGGGCTCCCTCTCCGGGGCCCCATGTGATGGCGCTAAGTCCCAGGGGCTGCTGGGTCGGGGCTGCGGTGCAGCCACTGTCCCGCTCGGCTCCTGGGGGCCTGGTCCCGGGCCTCGAGCCGAGGGCTGTCTTTGTTTCTAAACTTGAATAACGCCCGCAGCACGAACAGCCTGAGGTCAGGGTGCAGCTGCCCCCCCCCCGCCCTCCCCAGGGGGGGCGCTGGGAGCCCTCCCGGGCCTGCCCCGCAGGGGCCAGCGCAGCTCGAGGTGTCCCTGTCCCCACCAGGGGCTCTCTGAGGTCCCGCCGTGTCCCGAAGCCTCCGGCCAGGTCTGCAGCTGGGGAGCCAGGCGGACAGCCCCCAGCAGAGGCCTCCAGGGCCTCCACACCACCCCCACCCCCACCCCCACCCCCACCCCCGTCCCGGCTCATTCCTGCTTGATTGCCTCCAAGGCCCGGAAGCTCACTACCGCCTGAGGCGGCCGGGGACCGAACCCGGCCTCCTGGTGACTTTGGGGTTTGCGGCTCCAGAGCGGCCCGGCTTCTGGGACACCCGCAGCCAGCCCATGGCTCTCCTCGGGCCTCGGTTTCCCCACCCGTAAACCAGGGCTGGCGGAGAGGTCTGAGGCCACCAGGTACTTGTTTCCTTCCTTTGAATCGGCTGACACAGCCGAAGCCACGGGAGCCCAGCTGGTGGGGCTCAGGGGCTGAGCATTGATTGACCTGTGAACCAGGCGGTCAGGGTTCGATTCCCGGTCAGGGCACAGGCCCAGGTTGCAGGCTCCAGCCCCAGAGTGAGGCATGCTGGAGGCAGCCGACCCATGATTCTCTCTCATCAGGGATGTTTTGATCTCTCTCTCTCTCTCCTTCTCCCCTTCCTCTCTGAAATCAACAAAAATATATATTTTTAAAAACACAGGGAAACCATGGAAGATTTTACCCCGAAAATCCGCTGTCCGGCCCCTCCTGGGACCCAGCCACGCTGGGCACACTTGCTGCTTGGCAGGGAGGGGCCGAGAGGCAATGGCTGCCTCCTGGACCCTCCACTCTTCCCCCGACCCTCGACCCCCCTCCCCCTCCCCCCCTCCCCCTTCCCCCTCCCCTCCCCCTCCCCCTCCCCCCCTCCCCCTCCCCCCATCCCTTGGTAATTCCCTCAGACCGAACCGATGAGGCGCCAGGACCACTTGTGATGCTGACCGACAATCACCTGGACACGGGGCCCTGCTCTCCTGTGAGAAACGGAGGCAGGAGGCAGGAGGCGGGTCCCTGACGCCGTTTCCGCGCCCCCCCCCCCCGCAGGTACAACGGGCTGGTGACGGGCGCCCGGGCCAAGGGCATCATCGCCGTGTGCTGGGTGCTGTCCTTCGCCATCGGCCTGACGCCCATGCTGGGCTGGAACAGCTGCGACCGGCCGCGGGAGGCGCGCAACGGCTCGCGGGCGTGCGGCGAGGGCCGCGTGGCCTGCCTCTTCGAGGACGTGGTGCCCATGAACTACATGGTCTACTACAACTTCTTCGCCTGCGTGCTGGGGCCGCTGCTGCTCATGCTGGGCGTCTACCTGCGCATCTTCCTGGCCGCGCGGCGGCAGCTCAAGCAGATGGACGGGCAGCCGCTGCCGGGCGAGCGGGCGCGCTCCACGCTGCAGAAGGAGGTGCACGCCGCCAAGTCGCTGGCCATCATCGTGGGGCTGTTCGCGCTGTGCTGGCTGCCGCTGCACATCATCAACGGCTTCACCTTCTTCTGCCCGCAGTGCCGCCACGCCCCGCCCTGGCTCATGTACCTGGCCATCATCCTGTCCCACTCCAACTCCGTGGTGAACCCCTTCATCTACGCCTACCGCATCCGCGAGTTCCGCCAGACCTTCCGCCGCATCCTGCGCAGCCACGTGCTGCGGCGCCGGGACCCCTTCAAGGCGGGCGGCGCCGGCGGCCGGGCGGGGGCGGCCCCCGGCGACGGCGAGCAGATCAGCCTCCGGCTCAACGGGCACCCGCCCGGCTGGCTGGCCAACGGCAGCGCCCCCCGCCCGGGGCGGCGGCCCCCCGCCGGCCACGCCCTGGGGCTGGCGGGCGGACGGGGTGCCCGCGGGGCCCCGGGGGACACGGGCCTCCCCGACGTGGAGCTCCTCGGCCAGGAGCTCGGCGGGCCCTGCCCGGACTCCCCCGGCCTCGAGGGCCCCGGGGCCCCGGACGGAGCGGGCGTGTCCTGAGGAGCCGCCCCGGGAAGGACTCATTGCTCTTCCTGGTCCGGGAGCCGGGCCGGCCGGGCGGGCGGTGCGGGAAGGAGACCTTCCCCTCCCGGCTGGTCCCCACGCGGCCCAGGAGGGACCCGGCGGGCGCAGCGCGAGGGGATTTGGAACCCGAGAGCCGGCGTGTCACCGGGGACCCCCGTGCCGGCCAGGAGCGCAGCCCCGGAGCAGCAGCCCACTCCGGAAGCATCTGGAAGGGCCACCTTGTCTCTGCAGAGCAGGCCGCTGGCCCCCGTGGCTCCGAGGGGCCCCTGCATCCCCCCTCTCCAGACGTTCCGAGGGTTTGGGGGCTGCTGTGCCTGGAAGTGGCGTTGGACTTTGTTTTCCGGGAGAAAATGTGAGCGTGAAGATGCCCTTTTAATGTTATTGTTGTCCCTCCCTGTCGCCAGTCCTGCTGCTCAGCTGGCACAGGAGGCAGCCCGGGAGCCCCGGGCGGCCCTCTCCCCCCGCCCAGAGCCCTGTCCTGGGGACGAGGCTGGCCGCCGACGGGGCGCTGTGATGGAGCGGGAGGGGCTGGGGTGCGGGCTGGCCTGCGTGGGTGCGGGCAGCTTGCCGGCCTCGGTGGAGGCCTCACTGCGTCCCCTGAAGGGCATGTCTTTTCTGAGATAAAATAAAAGTGGAGCCCGTTGTGTTTTAAGCTTGTCCGACGGGAATGGCGTCTGAGTTCCTCTCCCTGCTCCACGGCGGCCTGGCACATGTTACAGGCGTGTGTCATGTGTGTGTGTGTGACTGCATGTAGACACCCTGCTTGCCCGGGGGCCTCCTGGGCGCTCAGCCTCTGGGGGGCAGACTGCCTGGTCGCACCCACGTGCAGCCCCGAGACTGGGGTCCCTGTGAGGGGGCGGGGGGGGCTGTACCCCAGCTGCTCTCCCTCCCTCATCGCCTTCCTAAAGTCCTTCAAAGATCTCTTTGTTTTTTAAAGTATGTTTTTATGGATGTCAGAGAGGAAGGGAGAGAGAGAGAGAGAGAGAGAGAGAGAGAGAGAGAGAGAGACATCAGTGGTGAGAGAATCATGGATCGGCTGCCTCCTGCACGCCCCCCATCGGGGATGGAGCCCACAGCCCAGGCCTGTGCCCTTGACTGGAATCGAACCCAGGACCCTTCAGTCCGCAGGCTGACATTCTCTCCACTGAGCCACACCAGCCAGGGCCAAAGAAGCTCTTTGTGCTACTTCTCAGAGCTACGCCCACCCTCCGGCTGCCCCTCCCGCTCCTCAGCTGAGAGGCAGCCAGAGATCTGGGAAGAGATGGGCCGGGGCTGCACCGCCTTCCCTCCCGGCCAGCCCTCCTCCCGCTCCCGCAGGAAACCTGTCAGAGCAGGTGTTTCCTGCGCTCCCTCGGGCTCCGTGGGGGGGGAGGGAGCCGTCCTCAGGGCAGTGAGGACCGGCCCCTCGGGCAGGGCCAGGGAGGGCGTGTTTGTGCTCCGGGCACCTCACAGCGTCATCTGTGGATGGCTGAGCAGAGCGCCTGCACAGCCCCTCAACGGAGGGCCGGACGTGAACTTAAAACCCTGGCCATTTCCTCAGTGGTTAGAGCGTCCGCCTGTGGACCAAGGGGTCTCGGTTTGATTCCTGGTCAAAGGCATGGACCTGGGTTGTGGGTTCCCCAGCTCCTGTAGGGGTGCCTTCAGGAGGCAGCCAATCGGTGTCTCTCTCACATCGATGTTTCTCTCTCTCTCTCCCCTTCTCGCTCCTCCCACTCTTTCTGGAAATCAATGGAAAATACCCTGGCCGGCATGGCTCAGTGGGTAAGCGATGACCTATGAACCAAGAGGTTACGGTCAGGGCCTGTGCCGGGTTGTAGGCTCAATCCCAGTGTGGGGTGTGCAGGAGACAGGTGGCCAATGGTTCTCTCTCATCACTGATGCCTCTCTCTCTCTCTCTCTCTCTCTCTCTCTCTCTCTCTCAAATGAATAAAAACATTTTTAAAAATCAGTGGAAAATAAAAAATAAACACACACCCAGGCCTGTCTGCCTGCAAACGCTCCCCTCATTCCGCTCCCAGCCAGAGTGTAAAGCAGGAGGCAGTAGCGGCCCCACCACCTGCTCACAGAATGGACTTCACGGCTACAGTGGGCGCACCTGGCCGCTCCCCGATGGCGACCCGGTGCCGGCACCTGGCACCCCTACCACCTGGGCTCCATCTCCCTCACTGCCCGGCTGTGTGCTCACTGCCCAGGTGTGTGTGTGGGGATCCCGGCCAGCACGGCTGTCTGAGCTCTGGCTTCCGGCTGCGCCCTCAGAGGCCCTCCCGGCAGCTGCCCGGGCCGGACGGGACCCAGCCCGTGGGGCAGAGCCAGCCCGGCCTCCCCGAGCCACAGGGCCCAGCAAGCGGCCTCCGGAGCCCTCACGCTCAGCCTGGCTGCGAAGCCCTGAGCCTGCACCAGCCCCCTCCCGGCCAGGCTGGCTTCCTCCTCCCACCCCACACCCCACACCTCACACACCTCACACCTCACACCTCACACCCCACACCCCACACCCCACACCCCACACCCCACACCCCACACCCCACACCCCACCCCCCACACCCCACACCCCACCCCCCACCCCCCACACCCCACACCCCACCCCCCACCCCCCACCCCCCACCCCCCACACCCCACACCCCACACCCCACACCCCACCCCACCCCCCACCCCCCACCCCCCACACCCCACACCCCACACCTCACACCCCACACCCCACACCCCACACCTCACACCCCACACCCCACCCCCCACCCCCCACCCCCCACACCCCACACCCCACCCCCGGGTCGGCGCTGGCTGTGGCTGAGGGCAGCACCGTGGCCTGGGGTGACCCCGAGGAGGCTGAGTGCCCGGATGCTGCTGGTGCTCAGGAGCAGCTGGCGGAGCGGCCAGAGGAACCGCAAAGGTAGGGCAGGAAGCATCTCTCAGGCCTTCCCCAGGGCTTCTGGGGAGCTGAGCGTGGGGTGCAGCCTTTGGGGTTTGGGGCAGGACCGGGCGAGCCGGGGTCCGGTGTCCGCGTGTGCACAGACAGACAACACAGGTGTGTGTGAGGGCGGGGCACCCCAGCAGGGCGGTGCCCCAGCGGCACAGGGACCCGGAGCCCGTCTGCTCGGGACCCGGCCGCCTGGGGCCCCGCTGCAGCTCTGTCCTCGCCCCTCCTGTCCCAGGGCAGACACAGGCTTCTCCAGCCAGGCCTGTCCGGGGGTGTCCGCACCCCTCGAGGCAGCCGGCCAGAGGCTCTCCTCCTGCCGCCCTGCCCCCCGGCGCCTGGGGGCGGAGGCCTGGCTCAGGCTGGGTCCCCGGAGGGACAGGCGGGGAAGGCTCCCGCCCATCCGAATCCCTGCCTGGCTCCGCCTCTCCCCATGTGTCTGTCTCCCCCGGAGGCCGCACAGAAAGTGCTCGTGGCTCCTGGGCGGCCGGGGCAGCTCTGCGGGGTGGGGGAGGGTGGCCTGGGCCAGAGGCGGGGATGCTGGGCCCCTGGCCCTGTGGCTGGGCTGGCCCTGGCCTCCCGGGCCCAGGCGGTGCGGATGCAGGAAGCACAGGCTCAGGAGAGGGACCGGCTCGGTGCGGCCTCCCCAGGTCTGGGCGACGGAAGGCCTGCCCGGCTGGCACTCTGGCCAGAACCCGTGCCTGCGGTTATGCCGCACAGCCACTGGCACGGCAGCTCCGGCTCCCACTGAGCAGGCTGGGGGCCCCCTCCGCGGCTGGGGGGCTTAGGCTGAGGCACGAAGACCTGTTTGCTGTGGGGCCCTCATCTACCCCCCAAAGGGGAACGTGTCACGTGACCCCTCTCCCTCCACCCACGCCTGCCTCTGTCCTGGGGCCCAGGACACCTGTCACTCATCCTGTTAGCAGCCCGTCAGGCTGCCGAGCTGGGTGAGCGGAGGCCGCAGACTCACAGCCTCCGAGCGGAGGGTGAGCACAGGGCACAGCCTGGCACAGGCACCTCCTGCCCTCTGCTTGGCCCTTCCCTGTAGCGGGGGAGAGGCTGCGGGAGGCTGAGACCAGCTGGGGATGGGGTGGGGGCAACCCCGTGTCCTCAGGGGGTGGGCCTTTCGGGACAGGCTTTGCCTTGCCTGGCCCTTGCCGGGAGGGGGTGGAGGGAAAGCAGGTGGGGGTGGGGGGGAGGGGAATAGAGGTCAAGGCCCCTGAGGAAGGGGTCAGGCCTGCTCGGGTCCCTGGTGGGGTGCTCGAGGAGCTGGCCCGCTCCGCCATCAGGATCCTCAGGCTGGAGCTGGAGCCCCATCTCCTGACGGTTCCTCTCTCAGCTGCCTTAGCCTGGGCGGGGGGGGGGGGGCGTTTGGGGGAGCCAAAGGGGGCCGGGGCCCAGCAGGGATGGCCAGGGAGGCCCGGGCTTTGGAGGTTGGGGGTGGAGGCCAGGCCACACCCCACGGGGGATCAGGCAGTGGAAGTGAGTGAACACCACCGGGCTCTTCACGGAGTGCGTTGGGGGCGATGCGCCCACACAGGAGTACGCCCCATTTGCAGCAATTTTCAAGTTAAGGTGTTGTCAGAGGGCTGTCAGGCTGTGATGTGTCTTTTCTGTTCACCCGCCCACGTGTGTGTTCTCGTTGGGGTGGGAGGGGAGGGGAGGGGCAGCCCGGCTTGGGTTCAGAGATGTGGGGAGCGCTCGGAGGTACAGGGGGCGTGAGCGTGGTCCGTGCCCAGACCCAGGCAAGCTCCCCTCCTACCGGGGACGAAGCAGACGGTGGTGCCCTCGGAGGCCCTGTGCCGGGGACGGACCAGCCCGAGCCGCTGGGAGGAGCAGCCGTGGAGGGAGAGGAAGGGGCGCTGGGCGCTAATGGCCGGGAGGAAGGAAGGACGTGCTGGGCTAATGGGATAATCGGATAACCTCGGAGCGAGCGGGCTGCCAGGCTGGGGCCAGCTGCTGGGCGCGGACACAAATAGCAGAGAAACAGGGGCTCTGGGGCAGGAAGCCGCTGGCTCGCTCGCTGAGGGATGTGGGGGAGGGGGGGTGGCCAAGGGGTGGGGAAGGGGTGTGGAAGGGACACTGGGACCCCCTCCCCCGTTCCACGGGGGTGATCATGTCAGGCCCTCAGGGACCTGGCAGCAGATTCCGTCGCAGGGCCTGGGCCGTGCCTTCCTCGGGGGTCATGCTTAGGAAGCCTGGCCTCCAGGGGGTCCCTCCACTGAGACCGCCCTGAGCACCCTGAAGTCCTCCTCCCGTCCACCGAGGGGGTCTGCAGAGGGGCTGCCTTAGGACAGCACTGCCGGGCAATGTGGAAGGTGACGATTCTGGGTGCGGCTCAGGGTCCCCTTCATTTCAGGCCACTGAAGGGAGCTGTCCGGGGGGGTTGGGCCTAGAACAAAAGAACGGGGGCGGGGGCTCTGGTCTAGGAGTCAGAAGCCCGGCCCGCAGCCAGGCCCGCCGCTGCAGTCGCAATGGGCGATCCTCTCTCTGGTCCGCAGGCGGCCCGGCCATCAGGGAGGGCGATGGGCAGGAGAGTGCAAGTGGGAAAGGGGCGGAGGTCTGACAGTGCTCACTCCGCAGAGTGCTCCAGTCCAACTCCGTTTCTAACTCTGTGCTTTTATTTTATTTTATTTTATACTTTTTATTATCTGTGTCCATATTTTAACATTGCTCCCCCCTCCCATTCATGCCCTCCCTCCCCAGAGTTTTGTGTCCATTGGTTGTACTTATATGCATGT